GTCTGTCACATGCTGTGACAGCTGTCCCTGTTTGCAGGCCAGAGTGATATTTTCTAGGTGAGAGGCCCTCTTACTGGGACTTCTTTTTTGAGAACATTTTGAATCATTAATTTGCCTGCTACGGGTAGGAAACTCCCTAAGGATAGACAGCTGCTAATAGAGGATCTGTAGCAATTAAAATGTTGCCTTAATATTAGACTTTAACTAAACACACGAAGACTAATTCAGCTATCAGATTGTAAAGCATCTTGAATTTTGTTTAGAGGTTGTCTTGGTGGTGGTTTTTTAGTGTGTGTATGTAGGAGGTGCACAGGCATTTGCAGATACACGCACGTGTGTGTAGGCCAGAAGATAACCTTGGGTGCTGTTATTCGGGCCCATTTCACTTATGTTTTTGAAGCAAGGTCTCTCATCTTTCTGAATCCCTCCAGCTAGGCTAAGTTGGTTGGCCTATGAGTCCCAGAATACCACTGTCACTATCTTCTCAGCAACAGGATGACAGTTCTATGCTATTGTGCCCAGTTTTTGTTGTTGTTGTTGTTGTTGTTGTTGTTGTATTGTTTTGTGTTTTTACATGGGGTCTGGGAACTGAAGTCAGGATCTCCTTGGGCCAGGAGAAGTTTCTTGGGGTGTTTAGAATTATATCTCTGTTCTGAGCTGTTTATCTAGATGCATTTCCTCGCATTACCATCCGTTTGGCCCCTGACACATCACAGATTAAACCTAAGGAATCCCTGCTTGATGCTGCAAGCATGGTGGCATCATTTCTTCCTATGGAGTGGGGTGAGCAGTATGGTTTCATCCATCCTCATGAGTTTACCAAACCTTCAGGATTGTTGAGAACACAGAGGGAGGCTTGGGAGTCTTCACTTGTTGCTTACAGTCTGCCAGGGCATTTGCGAACCTCTTGAAACCATGAACAAAAGCTGGTGTTTCTCTGCTGCCTATCCTACAGTGAATTCATGGAGCTTTTATCAGAACGACTTGAGACTAACACAGAGGATGAATAGTGTTGTAGTCTGGCCGCATTTGTCTTAGGACAGTTTCACAAAGGCCCAGAGGGCTGCTGTCACATAAAGGAAAGGGGATGTTGACCTAAAGAAAAGAAAGAAGGTTTATAGACTTCCCGGGGGAGGGAGGACTGATGGAATAGCTAAAGTGGGCATGTCCTTTATCAGCTATAATAGGGTTACTGGGTGGGGGTAAAGTGTACCAGACATGCCTCAAGTAAAGTTTACAAAAAGGAAGCCAAGGAGCTAGTTAAGGAGAAGGAGGAGGAAAGAAAATATCCTGGGCAAACCTTAACAATGGTAGCTTTTATTTTGCTGTAATGGTGGGAAAATAAAATAATAAAATAAAATAAAAAGCGTGTTCCCAGTCAGATATTGAGATGGTGTGCTGTAATTCTAGCCTGTTTCATAATGCACACAGTGCGCTGAGCAAGCACACATTCCCCTTCCTGCACACTGCCTTCCTCCTTAAATACCCATGCTTCCAAATGTGAGGTGTGGGTACTGTTTGCCTTCCCTCCAAATTCAATGGAAAGACTTCCCCTTGGAGCTCCTTGGAGGGCAACATGCCTGTTGCATCTGTGTGTGCATGTCTAGGCCCTGGTCAGCTCAGGCTGCTGTAGGTAGCATCAGGGGCGATGGGACTTGCAGTCCTAGTGTCCCTCCCCCCCTTCCCTTCTATCCCTCCTCCCTCCCCTTTTCTGCCCTCCTCTCTCTTCCCCTCCCCTGCCCATTTTTCTTCCCTCTCTCCCTTCTTTCTTCCTTTCCTTTCTGTATTTTTTGGATGACCCCTTCTGTTTCTTCCCTGTTGGGTATGTGTTCCAGGCACCAGACCTTTCCAGGCACTTATCCTTGTCAACACATCTGTTTGGTGGCTGCTGCCATCATCGGCCTCAACTGCTTTTCGTGCTACATTATCACTGCTGCCTTTTGTCACTTCCCTACCACGTCTAGGCTTTTGCTAGACAAGAACTGGTCAATATGGGAAAGGAGACAAGCGAACTCTGTCTTTGCAGGCTGCTTTTACAGGGGAGCTTCTTCCCAGCATTGTCGAGAAGCTGTCCTTCAGCACCGCATCCATTGCATAAATGTAGGTTTTGCTTTTGGTTTGATTTCCAGACAGGGTCAAATGTAGCCTATGCTGGGCTTATGAGAGCTCACAACTTGATCCACATGTAGGAGGCAGAGAAACCCCCACTGCCTCCAGTTCCTCTAGACTGGACTGAACTTCCTAATCTTCACAAGTTTCACCCACTGGGGACCAAGTATTCAAATCTGTGAGCCTGTGGGGGTCAGTCTCATTCAGCCCACCACACTTAATACATAAATAAAATAAATTTCCAAGAAAAAAGCAAAACACTAAAGCACCAAAACCCAACACCCAGGCTCCCAGGCTATGTGAACCATTCAGTCAGGACATGTGAAAGCCACCCAAAGCTTTGCTATTTCTCCAGTTGCTTCTGCACTGTCTAGAAAGGTGAAGCTGATAGCCGCCCTAAGATCTTCAAGTGTTAGGCTAAATTCCATCTGTTGAGGAGACCACCAGAGCCCCCTAACCAGAAAATAGTGTGTTTTTTAGGACAGAGTCAAAACCAAGAAAAGAACCTGACTGTAGAAAGTACAACCCTGTACTTCTTTATTTTGTTATCTTATAGGAAAATCTAAGGGGTCAAAAGCATTGTTCCACAAAAGGATCCAAACACAACCATTGCTGGAAAAGTATATCCATTGTTGTGTTGGTACCAAATTTAAACAAGGCCCAGGGCCCCTTGATGCCTATATTTTTAGCCAAGCAGAGCAGTCTGGGAGACATTGAGGATTTCAAAATAGTTTCTTACCTAAAAATACACTTCCTGAAATGAACTAGAGGCCTGAAAGGGATGAATGGGCTTGCTTTTTTTTTTTCCTTCTGTGTTTACTGTCACCACAAGAAAGCAGATCTTAAATATATAAGCTTGTATTTTTAGAGACCCAGGAAGCAGGTGTTGTGCCCAAACAACACAGGAGGTCACAGGGTGAACCGCTGAGGACAGAAATCCAAAGTGTGCACCAAGGAGAGTGACGGGGAGGAACCGAAGCTGGTATCCTCTGGGCAGGAAAAACTCGCACAAGGAGAGTACATGGTGCCCTTCTCAGGCCTCTCCAAGGGGACCTCTTGGAGAAGTCCCTCCCTGTTGCCTCCAGGCCAGCATCTGTCCTGCAGCCACTAGCAATTCAAGTGTCTAATCTTAGTGCAACAGAGAACATGAGTTGATGTCCCTCTGCTTGGTTGGATCCATACCAGCTTTGCTTTACTCCATCAACTCCAAACCACATCTTTAATGAGCTCCTTTCCTCTCTGCCTACTGACTGCATACAGATGTGACCAGCTGCCTCCCATGCCTGTCCCCATGCCTTCCTCGCCATGGTGGACTGTCCCCTCAAACTATGAGCCAAAATAAACCCTTCCTTCTCTAAGTAGCTCCCTGCCAGGTATTTGGCCAGCAATGAGGAAGGGAGCGAATACAGATGCTGTCTCTATGGCAGGCACTCTGTGACACACAGGAGATGCAGCGTTTAAACAAAGCAGACTGGGGCTCTTGGAATTTCCATGTTGGTGAATAGGTCATAGGGAAATATGTGACCCAATAGCTTGGCCAATAAGCGAACAGAATGCGGTGGTAGTTACTAGCTGGTCATTTTAGGATGAAGGGTGTCATTTAATCAGAGACCAAAAAGGGTGACAACGGTGATAGAAATAGACACTAAAAATTAAACGAATGTGTTCCTAGAGGCCGCCATACTCTCTGGTATGAGGAATAAGGTGGGAGGGAGCGGCAGTGTGAGGGATGTGGTCAGGCTGCTAGCGGGTTCTTGAAGTATAATCAGTTTTCCACACAGAGGCAGTGGAGAAGGGGCACAAGGCAGTGGTAGAACACGAGAGAAAGTGGGCCAGGTCCGGGGAGTGTGAATCTGGGAAAGACATACAGCTGGCTGTCTTGTTCCCAGCATACACCCGGGAGAACTGTCAGGGCCTTTGCACAAGGGATGGCTCCACCACCGCCCTCTGCTTCTGCACCACTGCTTCTAGGAAGACTGAGTCTACCTCAAGGACCTGTTCGTGGCCTGCCACCTCTTGGACCACATCCCCCACACTGCAGTCGCCCCGCTCCCTCACCCTTTGTTCCTCACATTGGAGGGTTTGGGAGGATTGGAGCACAGCAGCTCAACCCTGAGTGTATATTTCGACCACTCTGTGTCTCGCTTTGGCAGTTACTTCTATGCCCACTTGGGTGATGGCTCTTTTCTGGTACCACCATCTTATGTGCCCACCTCCATTTTGTTCCGCTTTCCCTGTCTGCTTTATTTATTTAGTTAGTTATTTTAGACAGGGTCTCATATGGCCTGGACTGGCTCCAACCTCTCTTTACCTCTGAGGATAACCTTGAACTCTTGCCCTTCTGTCCTCTACTGCCTATGTGCTTGGATCCCAGGCGGCACCGCTATGTCTAGCTTACACAGTGCTGAGGATGGAGCTCTGAGTTTCCTGATAGTTGGGCAAATACTCTAGGAACTGAGCCACATACCCAGCCCCAATAGACCAGGTTATCTCCAGGAGAACTTGGACCATTCAGGGTGGTGGTTCAATCTGTGTCTTTATTGATAAGGTTTTTGTAGAAAGCATGCTGTATGCCTGTCATGGACAAAACCCAGAAGCTGCTCCGCATCCCCATCACCTCTCCCATGCAACACACATTACTCCTTGTGTGAATCCTGGAATTCTAATCTGATTAGGGCTTTCTTTTCTTTATGATCTTCCTCCACATTCTTTTGTTGACTTATTTGTTCTGGAGGGTGCAAGCACACACCATGTGATATGTGTGGAGGTCAGAGGACACCGTTCAGGAGTTGCTTCACTCTTTCTCACACGGGACCCGGGGATCTAACTCAGGCCACCAGGTGCATGTGTGGAGTTCGATAACCCTTTGCTCTTTCTTTCTCTCTCCTCAGTTAACAGTGACGTGATGACCGGCGACAACGGCGGGGCGGTCAAGCTTTCGCAACTGTGCAAGTTTTGCGACGTGAGATTGTCCACTTGCGACAACCAGAAGTCCTGCATGAGCAACTGCAGCATCACATCCATCTGTGAGAAGCCACAAGAAGTCTGTGTGGCTGTGTGGTAAGCGGACCTTTGAGGAAGGGGGCCTTACTTTCCCTGTTACCTTACACGGGGCGCTGTGACAGGACACCTGGCCAAAGCAGTTTCAGGAAGAAGGGTTTGTTTTGGCCAACAGGGCAGGATGGTCCATGATGGCAGAGAAGACATGGCTGACGGTCACATGTTATAAACATTTAGGGAGCAGAGAATGAACCAGCTGGAAATCAAGTTCATACACCTGAGCCTATTGGGCACATGCCACATTCAAATCATGACACTTCATTTTCCGTTCTTTCTTGTTAGTCACACATGTTCATGGCAATAGTCACTGTTTGTATCCCTTGAATACAGATACGATATTCATGTTCCCCTCTGCCAATTATTAAATCTGATTGCCAGAATACTTTTTTGTTTTTTTGTTTTTTGTTTGTTTGTTTGTTTTCGAGATAAGGTTTCTCTGTAGCTTTGGAGCCTGTCCTGGAACTCGCTCTGTAGACCAGGCTGGCCTCGAACTCAGAGAACTATATTTCTCTGTCTTCAGAGTGCTGGGATTAAAGACTACTGCCCTGCTAGAATACTTTTTATTATGGTTTCAATGTGAAATGCCCCCAGAGGCTCTGACATTTGAACACTTAACCCCCAGGTGGTTCAGTTCACTTCCCAGCACCCGCGTGACAGCTCATAACCTCCTCTAATGCCAGTCATAAGAGATCGGATGGCCTCTTCTGGCCTCCTCTGACACTAAGCACACACATGGTGCACATAAAATTAAAATAAATAAATTAGTATTTAAACAAATATAATAATGTCTGTGCAGAGCCAATCGCCTGGGAGTTTCCCCAAATATATACCAAGCCATTTATCTTTTGATCTCTAGGCCAAATTAGTCTCCAAACATGTGGGTGGCAAAGAGATAATCAATTTCTGATGGCATGAACTGTTCCTATTTTTCTGTTCTGGAAACATAGAACACCGAGTCCTTCTTTCTACTGTGTTAATCATTTGTTCCCCCCCCACACACACACCCCTTTCTCAAATTGAGGAACTTAAATTTCTTTAATTAGGATCATTCTTCCCCTGTTGTTTTGGGAACCAGCTGTTGTGCCCCCCCACCTCCACACACACAGAGTGATTTTTGACCAGCAAGCAGGACCACCTGGATTTGTTTTGTGACCAGAGTGACCTGTGACCAGCAAGCAGAACAAACAGGCTTCAGAAACGGCTTAGTTTTTAAAGCACTTGCTGTACAGGCGTGAGGATATGAGTTTGATCCCCAGAAACAGCCGGATGTGGTGACATACGCCTGTAATCCCTGTACTCTGGAGGCAGAGACAAGAGCACGCCTGGGGCTTGCTGGCCAGCCACGTAGCTGAACTGTCCAGTTCCAAGCCAGAGAGATGCCACCTTAGTAATCAAGCTGGACATCTCCTGAAGAACAGTGGTTGAGGTTGACCTCTGGCCCCAACATGCTCATGTACACAGGTACACATATATGTACATACACGTGCATACCAAAGACGAAAAGTTCTACCACCATGTCCCTAGGCAGCCTCTTTAAGAACTCTCTGGTTGGACAGGACACGGTCTCTGCCACAAGAGTTAGACGCACAGTGTGAGGCTGAAGGGCCCCAGGAGTGGGAGATTTGAAATGACACATCCACAGGAACTCTTTCCCACATTTTTTTTCGTATAAAGATTCCAGTAAGGCTGATGCCTGAGTTTTTGGGTTGAGATCCCCCAAGGAAAGCTGTCTCACTTCTAATCATAAGTAGGCTCTGAGCTGAGCAAAAGATGAAGGGAAGTGGGCGAAGTTAATGCAGGGGAGTACGGGAGAACTTAAGGATGTTGGGGAACAGGAAGTGGAAACTACTTCCTGAAGAAAGATCACACTTGACTGTTCCATCCAGAGCCTCTTCATTCATTCGCCCATCTCTCTGCCCCTCTTTCTGCCCCTCACCGAACCTCTGCACCCCAGGAGGAAGAATGATGAGAACATTACACTGGAGACGGTGTGCCATGACCCCAAGCTTACCTACCATGGGTTTGCCGTAGAAGACGCCACTTCACCCAAGTGCATCATGAAGGAGAAGAAAAGGGCCGGCGAGACTTTCTTCATGTGTGCCTGCAACGTGGAGGAGTGCAATGATCACATCATCTTTTCAGAAGGTGAGCTGTCCTCTCTGGCTACGGTCCTCCAGGGGCGCCCTGCTGGGCCCTGCTGTCCTCTCTGGCTGCAGTCCTCTGGGGGCGCCCTGCTCTGCAGGGCTCTGGAGCACACTGGAAGGTCATGTGCCCATTTCCCTGGAGGACAGAGGTCCTCGGGAAGCAGTGGGGTCCGTGCTTGCCCTTCTCCGATTTGTTTCCCCAGGGTTTATCTTGGTATCCGGTGTTGGTGAATAGTTTCTTTTTCCCAGAGCAGTGGTTTGCCAGGTCTTTTCTCAGGGCGGTGGCAGCAACAGCAGCAACTGAAGATTTGCTAGAAATGTGAATTGTTATTATTATTTAAAATTTATTTTCTCTCTGTGTGTGCATAGATATGTGAGAGTGTGCACGATATATGTGCATGTGTGTCACATGTATGTGATGGCCAGAAACCAACCTTGAACATTGTGCTTCAGCAGCCATCTGCCTTGCTTTGTGAAGCAGGGTCATTTATTTGGGGCATGATTAAGCTGGGCTGGCTGGCTGAAGAAATTGTTCTATATGAAACTCTGGATAGACAATGAGTATAGCCAAATATGCTACTGAGATACTTAGAATTAATGAACTAATTAATCTGTTTATCTATTTATTTACTTATCTTTAGATAGTCACCATGCTGGTCAAATCAGCCTGCAATTCGCTATGTACAACGCAGGTTGGCCTCAAATTTGGACTCCTTCTGCTTCAGCCTCCTGCGTGCCAAGATTAGGCACGATTACTCTTGGATTGAGATGTTTCAAAACATTCCTCTCATTCATTTCTTTCTATAAAAATAAAACACCATTTTAAAAGTGCAGTTGCGGGAGCCTGATAGACGTGTCCAGGGAGTCAGCAGCTCCATAGTCCAGAAAGACACTCTCTGCGACTCCCAGTAAGTCCTCTCGTGTCCTTTGGCACTGAGTTCCTGTTGGAGCTCTTATTAATAAAAAAAAAAAAAAGGAATTTTAAAATGTTTTTTTTTCCCTTCCTGTGTTTGCTGACTTCCAGTCACAATCAATAGCCATGGCCTTGACACAAATCCTTTAAAAAGTGATTGTTGAGTGCACTCAGTTTCTGAGGGCATGATGTGCCTGTATTATTAAACCTCCAGATGCCCCAACCTCTGAATGAATGGATGGATGGATGGATGGATGGATGGATGGATGAAGGAACAGATGGACAGACAGACAGTTTGGCTGGCCTTTTCCACCTGTCTACCTGCTGCATGCCAGACCCTTCAGAAGAAGGGACAGATTACAGAAAGACCTTGCCATCTAGTCAGAAACCCATCCAGGCATCCCCAACACGCAGCCTGTAGGATGGCTGTGAATGCAGACCAAAAGAATGTCATACACCTACTTCAGACTTTGTACAGTGTGCATCTGCACTTTGTTGATCATTTCATTTTGTGTGTGATTGGTCATGTGGTTCTCCAGCGTGAGCTTTCAGATGACAGCATATGAGAAGGCTACGCGTGCCTGGACGTGTTAAAAAGCTGGTGGCTTTGCTTGCAGCAAAAGCCATCACCCCTGAAGTCAGGCTCCACGCATTGCCTGGTGGTTTCAGTATCTCCTGCACTGGCCAAGGAAAAGGGGGATGAGAAAGCCTTAAAATCAGGGGGCGCACTAGCCTCAAACAGTTCACAGCTGTCCCGAACACATCTCCCTTCCCATCTCTGAAGATCTGTGTAGCTGCAAGACCTGAGAACCTACTCAATACTCATCTAAATTCAGAATGCAAAGTAGAAGAGGGCATGTTATGATGGCCAGGTGACAGACATGTGTCAGGCAAGATGTGGTGGGTGCAAGGACGGACATGCAGTCTGAGGTGTAGGAAAGGAAGATGTTTTCAAGTGCAGCTGCCCTGTGACTGGGAGACAGCATGCCAACTTTGCAAGAGATCTATTTCATTTTTAATATGTGTGCCTGTGGTGTCTGTGTGCACGCGTTCATGCACATCTCCACATGTGTGGGTACATGTGTGTGCATGAGTAAGCAAAAGCCCAAGGTTGACACTGCTTGTCTTTCTCTGTCGCCTTCTACTTTGTACGTGGAGGCAGACGCTCCCTGAACTCAGCGCTCACCTTAGAGCTCATCTAGTTAATCATCTTAGTCTAGGATTCCTGTCTCTGCAGCTAGAGTACTGGGATTCCACAAGGGTTTCACATCCACACCAGTGGGCTTTTGTGTGGGTTCGGGGGATCCAAACCCTGTTCCTCATGCTTTGAGTGCAACAAGCCCTTTACCTGCCGGGGCATCTGGCCACACCCCTCACAAGACACCCACTCTACCTGAACTGCCAGGGCCAAAGGCGCTCACTGTCTACTCATCTCTTGGTTGTGTTCATTTGTCCATTTCTTACCCCCTCCCCCTCTTCCTTCTGTCCTATCTAGATAGTCTTCTGTATCCCAGACAGTTTAGAACTCATTAGATAGCAGAAAATGACCTTGAACTCCTGACCCCCTTGGTCCACCTCTTAGGTGCCGGGATTCCAGGTGGGCACCAGACCTACCCAGCTATTACAAGCAATGAACTCTGGTCGTTAAGCTTTTGTGACAAGCACTTTATCCACTGAGTCACCTCCCAGCCCAGCCTTTTTGAGACAAGCTCTCTTGATGGCCCAGAACTCATCAAGGAGGTTAGGCTGCACACTGAGTCCCAGGGGTCCTTCTGTCTTTGCTTCCCTGATGCTAGAATTAAAGGAGTGTTGTCTCGCTTCAGGTCTGTTCTGGCATCTGGATTCTATAGCTGTGTTCTGACCAGGCCCTGCGAACAGAGCATCCAGATAGCTGGGTACCACACCACAGGCACACTGGAAAGCTTGCTCTGTTTTAATATGTGACTTTTTCTGTCTCTCTTTTCTCCCCCCGCACCTTCCCCAGTCAAAGGGAGCGTGCTGAGTCTCGGATTTCTAATCAAAGCTAACCACAGTCCTTATGTTGCTGGATAATATTACAAATTAGGCGCGTTGTTCCTGTTCCGACTCAGGAGCACAGCAGGAAGCTGCTAAATAAGAGTGGAAGGGCGACAGGGCCTCTCAGATCAGTGACTGGAGTAATCACGCTCTGGGCCACAGCAAGCTTGCTCAGGGCTGCATGGTCTTCTGTTGGAAGACCACACCATGCTTTTGGATTAGTGCTGTGATGGCATCTTGGGGTTGTTGTCAAGACTCCCGAGTCCCCGGCACTTGCTGTGGAGCTCGTCTGTGTAAAACACAGCTGTTGTCGTCAGGTTTCTATTGCCGTGACAAAGACCATGACCAAAAGCAATATGGGAAGGAGAGGGTTCGTTTGGCTCACATTTCTCATCGTTAATTCATCATTGAGGGGAGCCAGGGCAGAAACCCATCACGGGAACTTCAAGGCAAGAACAGAAGCAGAAGCCATGAAGGAATGTGTTAGGCCAGTCTGATGGAGGTAATTCCTCAGTTGCAATCCCTTCTTTCCAGATGTCTCCTGAATATGTTGCCAAAAAAGAAAAACAAACAAAACAAGCAAATCCAAACTCCCCAAACCAGCATCTTGTGCGCCAAAGGGAATGAGTGTTCTGAGGCAACTAGGAGTGGGGGTGATCTGGGGACACATCAGGTCGGCCTGGAGAGTGTGGCTACGGTGGGAATGGTTACATCATCAGCCTTTATAGCTATAACACAAAAGGCAGCGGAATATCGAGACAGCTAGTAAATGCATTGTTGGGGGGCACCAGGCAGGGTGGTTCTGACACAGCAGAGAAATCTCTCCCCAGATGTTTTCACGCCCTGTCTGATGTTATTCTTAGCTTCTGGCCTGGTGGAAACCAGGGGCCTGCGAGTCGCTTAGCTCATTCCAAAGGTTTCACCTGGTCCTTCAAGGATGTTAAGTCGGATCCTGAGGTTGGTGAAAACCAGCAAGTAAAGGGAGTAAAGATAGCCCGAGATAGGTTTCACTCTGTGACTGCAGGATTCTAACTCGACCGCCAGCTCCATCTGGCAGGCTAGTCAGTGGCCCTTCTGACCTGCAGTACAGGGCTAGCTTTCCTCAAAAACTCCTGCTAACATTCCTGCCTTCCCCATGCCTCCCTTGTAAGGAGCTGGCTTCTGAATGGGCCAGACTGGCTGGGTGCCTCCAGCATCCTTTCTGAATGGAGCAGACAGACGAGCCAGCCCCACGTCTCCTCCATCTGCAGCATCACAGGGCCTTGGGAACACTTAAATATTAGTGGATATGGGCGCGAGGGTGGGGAGGGGTGTTCCCTGAAGTGCTGACTCAGCAGTTAAGATTGCTAGCTGCTGTTCCAGAGGACTGGAGTTCTGTTCCCAGTACCCAGGCCTGGTGTCTCATAACCATCTGTAATTACAGCTCTGGGGGATCAGACACCTTCTTCTGGCCTCTGAATTACCTACACCCATGTGCGTGCACATACACACACACACACACGTCAATAAAAATAAGATCTTAGGTTAAAGAAGCACTGGGGGACTCACCCAGGCAGGTGGAACCAGAGAGGGCCTTGCTAACTTCATGCTCACTAAGGTAACAGGACCTAGAGCAGTCATTCTGGCCCAAAACAAACAAAAGAACCTTTAGTTTGATTCAGTTGGGTAATAGACTAGAGGGGAAATCAGTGGAAAAAGTCTCCAGCTGTAAAGAAAATGAGACGCCTTTGCCCTACATATTTCTACAGACACTTCAATATTTTCTAGAAAATATATATGTTTAATATGTGATGTCCATGCACGTATGTGGGGATAGACATTGTGTGTGTGCAGGTGGAGGCTGGAAGTTAGTGTTTGATGTCTTCCAGTCACTTCCTACCTTATTTTTAAGACAGGGTCTCTGATATTGAACTTGGGGTGCACTGTTTCAGCAAGGCTGGTCAGCCCACAAGTTCAAGGAATCCTCTTATCCGCCCCCCCCCCATGCTAGGGTTGTAGATGCACACCTAGGTTTTGTGTTGATCCAACATGTGCCCCACCTCCCATGCTGGGGTCATCGGTACACACCTCCA